TCGATATCAAAGCGTGGCTTTGCAACGGACCATTTTGGTGACCTTTATTTATCTTTGATATTCATGATTTTAGTCTTCGATTGATCTCATAGATGACATCTTCTCAAGAGAACATGACATCGCCTCTACTCATTCAGGCTTGTCCTTTAAAGACAGTTGAGTCTAATAATGCTGTCGTGATTCAGCCTAGTATCACTAATAAGATCTGTGGTTGATCGAAACAGCGCTAATAGTTTATTGAAGAACTACTGTTGAGAAATCAGGACAGGACAGGAATCAATTTTAGCAACATAGGTGATAAGTTATCATCGATATTGTGATGTAACGGGGTCTCGAAAAACAACTTGTTGAAGGAGAGAATTGGTTTTTCTTTTTTTTTTATATATGAATTTTTTTGAGTATGTTTTAAAGGTGAAAACTCGTTTCAACTGGAGTACAACTGCGACGTAAAACTGCAAATTCACTCAGTATACCACCTACAGAAGAGGCAGAAAAAATAAATTTCCAAATGGTAAACTGAAATTTACAAATTTATCAGTTTCTCTGGAGTGTGGAAAGTGTTCAAGAGCCTAATGAATCCCTCTGAACTCAAAAAATTTGGATTGAAGTTGTGCTGAAGATGAATATAACAGACTTTATGTATCATTTTACAATGATGCTGGGGTCGTGAGGATCTATATATAATTCATTATTATTTGTCAAATTTCGAAATAACCCTATTGTAAACGTGATGTTGAAACTGTCTATCAACTTTGAAACGAAAAACCGACATTTCTTTTACGCATGCAGAAAAAATAATTACCAGGTATTCAAGAAATATATAAAGTGATTAAAAGTACAGTACATGTATCTCTAATTAAATGAAACATTTAATCATCATGTCGCCCTGGATAACTAATTGTGATGAGGGCAATTAGTTCGGGTCAACTTCAACAACAAACTCTCAGAGGAATATATTAGTCTGTGAATTTCCGTACTTCCACTCTGGCAATGAATTTCAACTTATTCTGTCACCTCAATTTGTGGGACAAGAACGAACACGACAACGAAATTTCCTCGTATCAGTTGACTCGGAAAGTATAATATTGCTAGAGTCTACGTCTACCCTTTCTAAGAAGGAATTAAAAGGGGTAAATGTACTAAAGGGTACAAGGAAGGGAGTCTAATCCAGAGGAAGGTTATCCGGAAAATAAATTCCTCCCTTTCTTTGTGAAACACGGCATTGACATAGCGGTTAGTTGATATTGCGTACATGGCAGGAACTTTATACCAGCTTGGATATGAGCTCTGTGGCTGAATAATTCTGTATGGAAATAATGAAGAAATAAAGGTGATTCACTACGAAATTACTATATGAGAGAATAACTTATTCATACCAGTTTTTGTAGCTCTCCAGAGCATCCAATGTGATACTATCAGCAGCAGGGAATCATCACATTACGTGCACTTGTGAGTAGGTGTATAACGGAACCACCGAAAGATCCATGAGAACAAGTCTGGAGCATGAAAGGAACTGCAGATTAGGCCAAACGCACGAGTCGGCTTAGTGAAGAAAACCACAGGATTATGTTTGAAAACACGAAACTCATTGCCCCTAACCAGGGATACCATAGACGACTGGTACGGGAGGTAATAGAGATCCACAAACACACAGAAATTTCCAACAGATAATAAGACGCGTGAACCTCAATCGAATATGAAATTCCTTAAGAAGTTATTACCTTCTCAAATGCCCTACCTGCTTTTCAACAGTGGAGACGGGAGTGGGTATAAAGAAAGAAAAAAAAAAGTTAATTAATTTGCGAATCTTTCATTAATGAAAGTAATGGGAAAGAGAGCGTCCACCAAATACAGTTATTTTTTTAACAATCATAGGAGGCGTAAAAAAATTGTAACGTGGATTGTCAGTTTTAACTTCCATGACGAATCTACAGAAGTTGATTTATTCACAAGGAAAAATAGATGATATTGAAATGAAGGAATTTGTCACAATGATAACATTCAACTGATGAATTATCTACCCTCTAATATGATTACCATCGGTTTACAGTTGTTCAAAGGTAGCTGGGAAAAGGTTTTGGAATTTTAAAACAACACACTAAATTAATATAATCGAAACTCAGTAAAAGAACTTTATAGCTAGGTGAAGTGGGTAACGCTGTAGCACTGACAGTTTTGGTACTGTTACCCCTGTGATGTCAATGCGTGATGTCAATGTTAGGACCCAAATTAACGATGAAAAGGAACGACATCACCTTCTTTGAGAAATGAGGCTTACGAGCCGCTCTCATTTTGCTACCAACAGAGGTGAGTCATCTAGGTGTCCAAGAAGTGGAGACTCACCAACCGCTATTCTCAAAGTTAGGAAGATTTCAAAGGCGTTATCAGTCAGCAACAAACAGGTAAATGCAAAATGAAGGCCTTTGAGATGTCTGAGTTATTTGACAAGATGAACTTCAATTAGAAAGTTCAGAGTATCTGTATCTGTATCTCTAGAGTAGGGAAGGTGAGTGTAGGCCCACAGCACTTAGGCCACATGTGACCCATTGTACATTCTGCCGAGGAGTTGTACTCGTAGGTCATCATCCATTATGTCCTTTCCAGGAAGGTGGACAGGTCACTAGGAGACATCTCTTTTATATCGGTGTAGGCCAAGACTCGCTGAACCCACAGTCTCTTATTGACAGTAACTCCGAGCACTCGCATAAGTCATGCCTGACACTTTCATCTTCCTGTTCACAGATCCTGCATATAGGTGTGTCCACTAGCCCCATAATATGACGTTGTTTCCTTAGTTGACAGTGGCCAGTCAGAAGTTTCACTGTTAAGCGTTAGTTTTTCCTGGTAATTGCCAGATATTTCTTTGGCGACAGCTTCCCAGGGTCGCCCATAGTGATTCTGGCAAGACTGAATCCTTTGATTCCATCCCAGCTCTTTGGGTATTGAGCATGGGTGTTACGTTTGGCTAGTTCCGCAATTGTCGAAGTCATCATGTCGTAGGTGTCCAGCTGCCTTCTCGGCTAAAGAGTCAGCAATGCGATTCCTTTCACTCTTGCAGTGCCCTTTCATCCACCTCAGAATAATGTTATTACCTACTGAGGCTTTAGATGAATTTTGGTGGCACTAGCCCTGAGGTAACACGTCTGTTCAAGACTGATAGGGCTTGTCTGCTAGCAGTGCAGATTGTTATGTTTTTGCCAGAAATTCCTTTCCTGGTTATTTCTTTTGTGGCGATTGAGATACCAGCCAGTTCTGTTAGAACCACGCTGAGTAGATGTATTTTTTCCCATTCTCCACTTAATCCTCAGGCTTAGTGATCATCCGGAGTGAACTCCACATTCAGGAGTTTACTCCAGGGCTTCTCCGCCCTTGGCTAGTCCGTGGCTGGTCCGAAACCAAAAAAGAAGGCAGAGACGTTTTCCTTCTGAAATCTCGAAAATTGAAATGACATAAACTGTCATAAAAAACAGATGAATTATTTGGAAAAAAAGATTCCTTATAAATAAATTTTGTGAATATGCCAAATCCAGCCAAGGTAAGAAGACTCGTTTCATATTCCTAGCATATATAGGATCATAATAAATCCTATAAACTATGTGGAATTTTATAAACGTTTCCTGTCTTCATCATAAAGTCTACCGGGCGTTCACTAAAAATTGAGGTAGTGATTTTGAAACCGTAACAAAGGTCAAGGATAGCAAACAGCATGACGGCAGGTAGAAAAGGGTCAGTGAATGTTAGTGACAAATTACCTGATTTCGGTACAGATGTTCGCACTCCAAACTACCTGACACAGCATGAATACGCGTTACGAAACTGTAATTTTCAGTAAACAGATATCAACCCAGGATGTATAAACCTCTGAAGAAGCTAGTCACTTGCCAGCGAAACGTCAGAAAGAAATTCCAAAAATCCACGGCCTCAGAACCTGAAAGCCTTGGCCGCGATAGCCTCAACCATTTTGTCAAACCATTAATTATTGTGACCTGGATGTCTTGTCAAAATATGATGGAGAGCCTCTCCAAAGATGAAATTTGATTTTCTCCAGTGAACTATCATAGCCATCCACTACTATGATCATTCGAGAGCTACTATGGAAACATAATCAAAGATAGTAAAATATGTCCATCTGTATTATTGTCACAGGTAAAAAAAAATTTCTTCGAATATTTTCATCAACTGATACTTTCCTCTTGTTTTTGTGCTATGAGAAATTGGAAAAATGGGTGGTGAATATAGAGAAATAGCAAATACGATACAAGAACTACAATTGAGATTTACGTCAATTCTTGGGAAATATTTATTTCAATCAGGAAAGGCCTTGTTACGGTTTGAATCGATTCGTATATATTGCCGTGAGGAGTTTTGGTAAAACCCCTGATGAATTTTTTTCCTTGAAAATACGTTACCGGTTCATTTTCAGATCATTAGAGGAAAAATACAATATTGTCATGGAAAGAAGATGTTATTGGAGTGCCTTCCAGGTTTTCAAGTATAAATCCGCGAAATTCCTATGAGTACAACTCAATACAGTAGTTAGTAAAGCCTTTGAACTTCTTGAAAGTCAAGGAATATGCCTTATGGTGCATCGAAAAAAATCTCGAATCCTTATGAAAGGAAAATCTTTTCGGCATATTTTCAAACTCTTATCACTCCCACCCCCTACGCAGGATGCAATTAAATTCAAAAAACTCTGTTCATTGGTGCAAGAAATTTTAGGAAAAAAAGTTGCAAATGAAACCAACGTCATACTTATTTCTTCTTCAAAGACTAATGATGCATTGTGTAGTTAGAAACTGTAAACTGTTCTTTGAAAATCGCTTCACATCTAGAGTAGATTCGATACAACAACTTTCAGACATAAACTAGTAAAAAAAGCCCCCCTGAAACAGTTACGTTTATATAAACATTGAATAACATGAAGTTGAGAATACTTTCGAAACAATTTATTTCATATAAACACGAAAATAAAATTACCAACCAATTACTTTTTTTTTCAGGATGCCGATACTATTGAGAGACTAAACGAAACAGGGGAGTTGAGACGAATTTTAAAACCATTCAAGGTGAGTAATCAACTTTTTTTAAGGACAAAACACAAGCACTATAGAAAAATCCTTCAGATGCTCTTAGATCGGTGCCTGTGCGAAAGTAGTGATTCACATTGGATTTGAATCACTGGAGATTAAATCCATTTGGAAAAACGTTATCAGGAAGTTTGTTCCACATAAACGCCGTTGTCCAAATGAAAAGTTCTTGAACAGTGAAGTTCGAGGTATACTGAGTTGAACCTCAAAACGATGAGCAGCCTCAGTCCGTCGCGTATTTCTAATAGATAGATGAATTTATTAGTCTTTTGTGCTACATTATGTAGATGGGGCAGGTCATATTCCTGAGGTATAATATAAATGTGTAATATTATAAGATTTCATTTGAATAAAAAAAATTACGTGACACACATTGTAAAACAAACACCTACATATTAAAATATAAGTAAAAATAGAAATAGACAAATAAACATGTTACGATATGTGCGTCACAATGACAATGATCTGACATTACCAACTTCAAGTATAAACTCATCTATTGTATAGAAACCTTTTTCTGATAGAAATACTTTGAACTGATGAAAAAAGAAATGAAAATTTTTATGTTTTTTACCAGTTTTATTTGTAACTAACGTTACTGCAGTTTCGTCCTATATGGACATTTTCAAACTTAAACAATAAACTAAGAATGACTCATTGCATTCGCTAATATATACCATTCAGGTACTTGATTGAGTACCTGAATTTACAGTTCACAATGCGCATGTGCCAATTCAAAAACCGGAGAGAAAATTAAATCGATTTGGTCATTTAACAGGTTGCAACCGCAATGTTTATGCTTGTGAATTTCCAAGGATTCTAAATCATTGAGTTTGCAACCCTTTCTTGCATAGTGCAGAATTTCCGTATCGTTCAGATTCGGAAACTTGTGTTGTCCCACATAAACACTACTACACTCCCAACACTTAAGCTTATAAACTCCAGATTTTTTCAACTTGTCGACCTTATCTTTGGTATTGAAAAGAAAATAAGATAACCTGGCATGTGGTCTGAATGCTACTTCCACATTGTTTTTTCTGAAGAAACCTGCACACTTTGAACTGTTTTTAAAAACCTTGAGGTGGCAGTGTTTTCATACCGCATGGCAGTATATTGAAGAGATGGATACCAGCAAACATAGAAGACTTTTTATACTTTGCGTGATGGTGTTTTTGGGTGATGAGCATATGGTTATTCCTAATATGATTATTATGGACTTCAGATCTCGACTCTAGTTGTCTTCTATTTTCATGGATATACGTCAGTATTTTTAGAATGAACAAACAAGCAACAGTTAGTATTTTGTTTTGACGAAAAATCTCCTTACATGACGTTCTGTAATTAAGATTGAAAATTAGCCTCAGTAATGCTTTCTGTTTCATGAAAATTCTGTCCACCTCAGTTGCTAAACCCCAGGCAGCAATGTTGTTGTGAATAATGGACTGAAACTGATATCAGTACTAATTTATTCTTAAGGGATTCAATGAGATACTAGGGTTGATTCAATTTCTTGGATGTAATCTCTATATGTTATTGCCAAGTGAATTGTGAGTCCACTATTGTTCCTAAAAATTTTGTTGAGCTTGTTAATGCCAAGGATTCATTACGGAAAATGAAATTGAAATCATGTAGGCTTCGAGATGAATTTGCAAACTCCATGTAGACAGTTTTTCTCAGGTTGACTATAAGTTTATATTCTTGTAACACCAGTCATCAAATTCGTGTAGGACTGAGTTCACAAGGTTAGATATTTCGTCCGTTGTTTTACTGGAAAGAATAATGGAAGTGTGGTCTGCGTAAAGATTGAACACTTCCCTTGAAAGTATCTGTAGAAGGGAGACAAATCTCCGACCTTTCTTCGATGTTCCAGGCTATCAAGGTTGCACGTGATGTTCGCGTCTTCAATCAGGCAGATGGCTCTTTTCTGGATAGAATCCAGGATATGTTTGGGGGCAGAGCTCCATACATGAGAACAAAACTCCAAAGAAGGTCTGATCTGAGCTTTATAAATCATCAAAAGTTGGTGTGTACAGTTTTCTGATTCGGAATGGTGTTCCAAGCTTTTGAGAAGCAGCCTTTGTTATTCCAGCGACATGATTGTACCAAGACAATTTGGTGTCCATTCCAACCCCCAACAAACTCTTCGAAGCAGAAATGGGAATTGTCCAACCTGATATTTTTATATCCGATTCGGAGACCCTAATGTAATTGGTCAGGATTTTTCTCAACCAACCTCACGCTTATTTCTTAGAATACTATATTTCATATACTCAAAATAATTTTCATGCATTGAACAGATAAGTGAACGTGGTTTTTAATCCATATCTTGGATTACACATAGTTTTCATAACCACAAAATGAGTTTCGTAACCAGAGACCATGAACTGATTATTTGCAGTGAAAACTGCTTCGAAAAACAAAGGAGAAAGCTCAGATTCGCAACAGACCGCTTTGGGGAGCCTCGTTTATCTTTGATATTCAAGGATTGAGATATCTACCGAACCCAAAGGTGGCGTCTTCGTACAGGCAGATGTCGTCACCGTTTCCTAAAAATAAGTTTCGTTTAATATCCTCCTATGGCACGATAATATCAAAGTCAATTTTTTTTCCAAAGTATACTCTAATCAGAACAATGACTTGTCACTTTCATACTGTTTTTTGAAAAATAATGTTTCTAATAAAAGCATCCGTTTATATTTGCTTTCAGCGAATAACGTGCGTTTATGATTTTTGCTTTGTTGAACCCGAAGGTAATTATGAAATTCCTGTCACTTCCATTTAATGCCCCGTTAGATTTCCAACCTAGCAGTTTTGTTGTTTTTGGCATAATCCACTTCTACAGCAGCATACTCGATTCAATGTCATGTCAGTTTTTGTGTGTGTATGTGAAATTGTGGAAAATTGCCTTCGAAATTAGTCTTCTCAATTATCTACTCAGCATTTGATGTGAGTTTCATTATTCCACATCAACTCGTTTGAATGATATTGAACAAAATGAGGGGGTTGAGTGCGGTTTCGTCAAGATTGCTACTACCCACGATAGAGGGTGGGAGCTGAATGACGTCATTAAAATTCGTGCGATTGATGAGGATTTTTGGGGATTTGTTAGACACTTGAGGATGCTATCTGCAAAGATTTTCAGTCAAAATATATTTTCCGTTCTCTTGAACGAAAATCATCGCCAAATCCATCTAGAGTCTACAATAATATCTCAAAAAATTTGGCAGATATTTGATTTTTGGTATAGATCTTCATGAGCCGTACTTTTCTCAATACTTTTCCCGACTGATAGCCAATACCCAAACGACTGCGATCTCAGGAAAGGGGGAAATTTTCGATATTTTGCTTCGCGTTGAAGATAGCGAAAAAAGTTATTTAAAAAAGTTGTTCATCTGCAATTTTGACCCGAAATTCATATTTTCAATTAATGGTTCGGAATAAGAAGATACAAAAATTCTAGTCAAAATCAATTTAATTAATGTATTGAAATAATAAAAAATGGAAATGAAATTTTCTATGTTCCGTACCACATTTATTTTCAATTATCATTACTGCAGTTTTGTCGTATAGGGACATTTTCAAACTGATATTATATAAATATTGTATTAGTTTGAAAATGTCCATACAGAAAGAAACTACAGTAACGATGGTAACAAATAAAAGTGGTGAAAACAGAAAGTTTTATTTCTCATTTTCCATTATGCTCTCCTACCACATAGTAACTAACGGCATATATCGTAATAACTATTTTAATAATTATAAAATACAAATCATGAAATTATAAAACAACTACAAAAATTAATTGGCGCTCCGGGGGGACTTTATTGATTCCAGTGGCGCATTTGCTTTTTCAGCTGCAGGAAAACCCGGAAAAACCTGCAGCACCACATCGTCTGAAGATCTTGATCTGCCAATGTCCTCTCTCTCATAAAACAAAATGTAAGGTGTCTCCAGAGCCTCCACTAAATGCAATGTATCGCCAGAACACTTATTGATACGACTATCGTCAAACTTAAACCAGTGAACAATGTTCACTGGTCAGTGTTACTATTATCGTCAGTGTTACTATTAGATTGACTGGTGCCTCAGCTATACTTGTTTTCTTATAACAGTCAGTTGGCGCATATTTGGCAATACAGTCGATCATCACCTCTTAGGTGTGTGGAATTGGCAGCGGTGGTAGTGCGCCCGACTCATGATCGGAAGGCCGTGGGTTCGATTCCCGCCTTGACCAGATATTTTTTTGAGAGAATTTATCTGGTTGAAGCTGGGATGACTCTGCAACCGTGTTAGGAATCACTCATTAAAAGTTAAGACCTCGTTAGTCCTTAGCTCGCACAAGTTTCTCAAGTTATGAGAGTTGGGGCGACAGCTGATTAAGGGAAAAACCGACAGACAGATTTTTAAGAGTTCTATTTTCAGATGATTTAACACGGACTGGTTATTAGTCGTATTAGGAAACGCTAGTTGAGGTTCCAGAATTCACATGAGTTTTTGCTACCTCTTGAACATTTACTACAAAGTAAACAAGTGAGGTTTTTTCTAGCAAAAGATTCACAAACACAAGACAAGATTGTACGGATTCATTCAATCCAGAGAGGTCAGGAATATTAAGTCCGAAGAATTTGGAACAATCCTCTTGTTGTCCTAACGAGTATCTAGTAGACTTTGTTGGAGGAAAAGATGATACATTCTTATGAAACTGCAACTGCATGAACAGGTGTTTGAGTTTGGTGAATAGATAGGAAACATCCTCGTTCTCGTTCATCATTGAAAACTCATTCTTGAAATTCGTCATCATGAACACCTGTACAATGCTGTAAAATAGCACCTGTAAAATAGCAAGTGTTTTCTAAATTATCTAATCAAATTTTCTTCTCTTTACTGATTTTATCACATGTAAGTTATTCAAATTCAATCTCCTTTACAAGCCTGTCTCTTATTTCGAAAAAAAATTCAATTTTCTGTTGAATATGATT